ACGCATGAGGATTTTCTAAAGCATTCTTTCTGTTTTAATTCTATGCGATATAGGGCAATCTTAAAATTGAGATAAATCGTTTGGTAGCTTTGATACTCTATAATTTAGTACGTAAAAAGTATAGATTTGTGACATCTTGGAAAGAAAACATGATAGATTTTGTTAGAAATAAACGAATATGGAAAAGGTTTTACAATTTAACATTGTAAAAAAAAATGAACAATTTTTTTCCTAGAAAGAGGGAGGTTATTTCTTTAAACTACTTTTCATCAAGATTTTAATAGATATTATGAAAATGATCACTTAACCACATTATATTTACCACGAAGAGTGGGGGGGGGGGAGTATTTCCAACCCACACCTTACTAAGGTTAAAAAGATATATATAACATTAAATATGAATATTAGAACACTATTCTTTTTACGATTATATCAATCTGAATCCTGGATAAAAATAACAAAAATAAATATTTTACAAAATAATTTTTCAAGTCAAAGTTTAGGATGTTTAGAATAAAATGGGGTACATTATAGGGTGGAATAATCGATTTCAGTATATTATAGATCTCAAAACCTAAGATATAAAAACTAATTGAAAAGATGAGGATGGAAATAGTCGTCGATGGGAAAGATCGGCCATTGGAATATTGGGATCTACACTCCCAAAAATTATAGTTACGCCACAAAATAAAATATTTTGAAAAAATGTATTGATATTTTAGAATAGAGAAGGGTTACCTAATTTTCTCTCTTCAATTGGAGAACTTATACGTTCTAGTGACTTCTATTGTTTCATATATCATTTTAATAAAATAAAAATATAATTATTTCTTTTTTAAAAAAAGATTCATAAGCTAAATAATAATTATAAGATTTGAAATATGCAATACTTAGTGCTGAAGATAATCACCTTTGAAATTGCTTTGTCAGCATTTTTTGCAAGTTTTATATTGATTTTGTATTCAGCCAGTTAAATTTTTATAGTAGGCATTAAATACTTGAGTAAAATAATTTTTATCAAATAGAGTAGACCAGATTGAATTGCAAATTTTTAATTTCGCCAAAGAATTTATATATATATAATTAAAATTATATCATTTAATAGCCCATCATTAGCATTAAAAAGTAAAAGGGGCACTTTAGTAAAAGTCATGCTATTATTTTTGCCAATTAATGATATCAAATTTGTGACATAGAACACAATAATTTTATATTCTAAAAATATCAGAAAAAGACTTCATATATTGCATAACAAAATTATATCAATTGAAAAATTGGACAACTATTTTTGAAGGCAAATGTAAAAAGCCTTTTATCACCAACTGATTTAAAATTTTAATATATTTCTAAAACTTTCATGGAAATGATTAATAATTTGTGTAAAAATAAATATTTTTTTAAAATTAAAATTTGATTTTCAATAAATATCTAAAAGTTGATGAAAATGTGTAAAGGTAACTAGATTTATTTAACTTTCGTTAAACCCCAAATCTTCGAGGGAATTTGAATTTAAAATACATTTAGATTTAATTAAAGTAGTGCAGATCCGCGTCAAAAAATAGTGAATTTAAAAATCCTGGCTAAAGGCTGGCCATTATCATTATTTAGCTTGTAATAATATTTTGCTTAATATCACAGAGACTAGGTAACCAATTGGTTTATTTATAAATATTGTTTAATTTTCACTAAATCTGGTTTCGGGATAAGGCCAACATTATATTGGTTAGGGTTAATTAATAATTATTTAAAAATTTGGTTAGGTTGATATTCATAGTTTTGTTTAATAATTCTATTTGGAAAATTTTATTTGGATAAATTTTATAGGAATTTTTTTTTATTTTGTTGATTTTCTCAAATATTTTATTGTATTTGGGGATTTTTTATTCTTATTTTGTTAATTTTCTAAAAAATAATTTAATATTTTATAGGATCAAAAAAATGGGAAATTATTTTCCGGGGAATAATTTCATGTGGGATTTTTTTTCCAGAGAATTATTTTCCGGGGAATCTTTTTCTGGGGAATTTTTTTCCTAAGGATTTTTTTATTGGATTGTTTTTCCGGGTAATTATTTTCCTAGATTTTTACCGTACATGGGAATTGACAGACAAGAATAATTATTCTACATCATGTGGAGGAGATGGACAAAAGTTAGATAATGATGGCTGGGGATTATGGAATGGGATGAGGATGTTTATATTGTATATTTATGATAGTATTATTAGTTGTTATCGGATATAGATGATTAATATAATAATTTGTATAAATGGCTTATTTGATTGCAATAAAGAATTACATGAATTCCAAGTTGTATATAAATGCTACAATTATAAATTAAGTAGACTAATGGTTTAGGAAGAAAAAAAAGGTTGTACAAGTTCTTTGAGCATACTATTTCGATTCATATACTGCTTTATATCAGAGACCTTCATGGGCCTTAATTTTTTGACCAAGCCCGGCCCAGGCCCGCAGTAAAAAATTTTTTTAGGCCCAAGCCCGACCCGGCCCATATCTAATGTTAAAAAAAATCCCAAGCCCGACCCATGCCCATGATAAGTTTCAAAAAAATTCCCAAACCCCCAAGCCCATATCCAAAAATTTAATCTTTTTATTTAATGAAAATAAACAATATTTAAATATATTTAGGCATTCATTTTGTTTATAATACTGAAATTTATTATTATTAGAAGGAAAAAAGGCAATGTTTCTTTAAATTAGCTACTGTTTTAAATTTAAATTTAATAATTTTAGGCCCAAACCCAGCTCAAGCCATTAAAAAAAAATTTTTAATCCAGGCCCGGCCCATGCTCGCTAGAAAATATAATATTAGACCCATACCCAGCCCATGAAGGTCTCTGCTCCATATTTAAAAATGTATAGGAGTTATAACCAATTACACAAAATTGGTTCGACAAGGCCCGATCACCTTATATCTCGTGAAATTTTTGATCAATATTGTCTCTTACTTTCCTAAGTCAACAACATATAATAATAATACCTAGACTGATGATGCATTTATTAAAGGTGTACATCAATGAAAAACAGCTGAGGACGTCATTTTGCTTAGGTATAGCATTTTTAAAAAAATTAAAACTTTAATATAAGTAAATTAAAATTAAATCCTACCTCACAATTATTGTAACACAAAGAAATATGTATTTAGCAGCAAATTCAAATAATTTGAAGTATTTTGGATCCTATATAGGTCACCAAAATGACGAGTCACGTGATAACCTGCTGACTTGCATTCAACGACGCTTTAACATGCATTATTATAAGTGAATTATTAGTCTAGGTATTATATTTCATTGGTTGTACTCCGATAATATCTGCTATTCTCATGCCTTCTGCCAAATGAATATTATTATTTTTTTTTAAATATTGCATAAGATAGTGATTAAGGTATATTTATTTATACTTCCCAATGTAAAAAAAATCGGCTATTAAATTCAATAGTGTATATGGATCAGGTAATTTTGATATTTCTCCAAGGGCACTTAAAATAGGCTATTTAAAATAGAATATAATCTTTTTGAAATAGAGTAACATTTAATTCAAGTAAACCTTTTATATTTCTACAAAAATATTTTATCAATAATTTAAAATTTTGGCTAAGCGCCCACGCCTGGTCGAAAAAACAAGTGTGATGACGAACAATAAAATGGGCAAACAAAATTTTATATATATTTTTTTAATAAAAACTATATTTTATTAATTTATAACTTTTTTTAATCAAAAATTTCCTTTTCCAAACACTATATTCTTGTCATCTATTTAGTATTCAAATGAGAGTATGTGTTTGCTAAAAGGCACAAAAAAGCTATATATTAACTTTTTGTTAATAATTCGTATTACAAAAAAAAAAATTTATCCCCTAAAGGAAAAAAATATGTTACATCTACAATAAAAAAAACAATATTATTATATCCTTTTTTATATCATAAAAATTATAGAGATTGTGTGAGTATGATTGATAATAGTAGAATAATGTCAAATTTAATATGATTTAAAAGTTAACTTAAATTATTAATAGTCTGACAATATATTATAATACTAATTTGCAAAGTATAAAAGTTTGAAAGTTGGGAATATTTGACGATATTGTATATATAAAGAAAGATCTCATTTTTTAAAAAAATAATGGACTAAAAAATTGAATTTTATTTAAGAAAAAATCTGTAACATTTTTCATATAAAAAACATCCATTATCATTAAAACTTTTAAGCTCTTATCAAATTTTATTTAATTTTTTTTTGGTAGACCGATAAATTAAATATTTAAATATGCACATGGTATTTGCACATATTTATCTTATCAATTCCATTTAAAGGGCTTTGCTTGCAGGATGTAAGGTTAATGAATCCATTATTTGCTTCAATAGAGATCGACGATCAATACTTACAAGGGCAAAGTCCCGCTGACTTCTTAAAATTTATTGTTTAATAATATATTTTTTTATAAATGGCGTTTATATATATATCTTATAGAGATGGTATTTTTCTGATATGTATATTTAAATATTAAAAATTTTAACATTTATAGAGTTGAAGAACAATTAAAATCATTTTTGTCATTTTGTGAATCGCGTTCGGGTGGATTTTGATGCTGTACAAAGTATATATCATATATGTATAAAAAACGTGTTTATTCATTTTTTCCTTGATATTTATTATTTTAAAATTGTGACCATATAATACACTATTGCTATATAAACTCACAGTGTAATTATGAGTGAGTGGAGAAAAATATTCAAATTTTAATATTCCCATAATGTTAAAAATATAAATATAGGATTAAGTGAACATAATAAACAATTAGAACTTGTGCGGCGTAAACTAAAAATTATTTCTAATTATAAAATATTTATAACTATAAATAAAATTACAAGTTTCATAAAAATATATTGAGAGTAACGTTTTGAATTTGATAATTGTAAAAAAGATATAATATATACCCATTCGCATAATTAAGAGTGGATATCTCAATACAAAATTAGCCTGTTCTCGTAAATATCATTTTAAACTAAAAAATTTCCTCCTACATACCCCCCCCCCTCTTTCCAGCCCAAAAATCTATACACGATATTACTATAAACAATCATTTTAATAAAAAATAAATGTAAGATAATAATTTTAAAAATAATGACTTCAAAATTTTTATTTAAAAAAGTGAAAGCCCAAAATTATTCTTCAAAAAATATAATATAGCCAATGGCCTGTAATATGCGGACTTAAAGACTTCCAATAAAATTTATGGTGAAAAACCAAACTATTAATTCTTCCCCCTCCACCTTTAGCAAAATACAGAGTACATCTATGTATGCAGCTTGTTATATAAAATTGTTTAATTTTAATTGGGATTTGTTGAAAAATCTTATTAGATTCCTTAAATTATTCAAAAATACAATTTTTTCATATAAAAAAAGAATGTAAGGCTAAATTTGTTCTCTTTTCCTTAATAGAATATCGAATCATTGTATCTTTTGTGCTATTGATAACATTGACATAAATTCTTCCGAACAAAACAGGATTAATAAGATGCTATCTTATTGTTGACTGACAAGGAAATGCTCCAAAACGGTGATAAATATGTTTATTAAAAATCTATACAGAAATTAATAAACTTCATCTAATTATAGCAAATTAACATGTGAGTTATAAGCTTTATCTTATTTTTTGAATATTATGGAAAAATTAAAATCAAGCCTTTCTATATAATATTTATTATACAGTGAAAATAGAGGAAAGATTTGTTTTTATTAATAACCTCCCCCACCCCCCATCATCGACGTTTCATTAAAGCATGGTTATTGCATTCATTTCCCATTTTTATATTTATTTGTATAGACATATATTACATAGAATTGGTAATGGCTTCTGACTGCCCTTTATTAATTTGTTGAGAGCAAATATATTTAACTTGATGAATAATAAAAAAATTAAAATATTTCTCATGATAAAACTATGGAAGTAAAGTATTAAGAACAAACTTATGTAGTGTATAACAAACTATTACTCATTTTTAAAAAAAAAATTATCCATTATATAAATTAAAGTAAATGATAATCATAGTATATGTATGTTGCTGATCTATTCTGTAATTATTCTGAATCCATATCCTTGATCATAGGTGGTTTGTTGGGGTTTTAATTGTTGGAATTTATGCTAGTTTTTATGTTTAAAAATATATTGTATAAAATTATTAATAACCATCTAAAATGATAATTATTAGTATAGTTGGCTTTGCGTATTAGAATTACAAACATTGGAAGCAGAGTTGTTAACGCCTTTTTAAAAGTAGCTAGCTCCCGCTCCTACCCTCTCAAAAGGAGCTAGCTCCCGCTTCAAGTAATGGAGTGCCACTCTATAGCCGCTACTTTAATTTTCATTTTTTAGAAGGTATACGATTCAAAATCATATTTTTTTATCAAAAAGCTTTATTTATATTAAATGATATATCAAAATATTTATAACCTTTTATTAGCTTTTAAAAGTAATAAATTTTCTAAATTAGAATCTAACAAACATCAACGCCTCTCTCCTAAGACCTGTTTTGCAATAGTAAATAGCACCCACAGGAGCATTAGGGGGAAGCTGGGTATTGTATTTTATAAAGATATTTTTTAATTCAGGAAATTTATCAAAAATAATTTTGGTATCATTATTTAAAAAATATTTGTCCAATATATTATCTTTTGATGATCAATTTAATGCAATCCAAAAAAATCTTCCAAATCAATTTGTATTTAAAAGAAAGATTTTTTACTTTTAGATGCTTTTTTAAATTGAAGCTGCTCACTTTTGAAAATTAAATAGTTTTATTTAAACACAAAAGACATTTTGCCCTTAAATTTGTTTAATCATTTGGACCAACATCTTTTAGAAATTTAAAATATTTTTTGTATGATGGAAATGGAAATTCGATTTCTTCATCTATGATTTCTAAATCCATAATATAAAACTATTTTTTATTATATATCTATAAAATAAATATTAATATAACTTACAAGATTTTCCAAAAAATTTTCAATATTAAAAGGAAAACTTGATGTTTAATATTTAAAATGATTAGATGAATAACCAATAAAACTAGGCTCAACATTTAATAATGGATAAATTTAAATAAAATAAAATTTCCTTTTTATTGAATTTTAATTAACAAATATTATTAAATTTATAAAATAAATTAAATTATACATTAAAGTTAAAGGAGCGGTGGAACGGCGCTTACCATATTTAATAATTAATACTTTACTGATGGTTGAGATTTTATTTTTTTATCACGATAATTTTTTTAAATATCGATATATTTTTTTAAAATATCTTGATTTTTTGTTGCTTGATTATATTTATTAAATAATAATTAAAATTTCAGGATAAAATAATTTTTATTTAAACTTTTATTTAAAGTAGTGGACTGAAGCATAGATTACAATTTAACAAACGTTTATATTGTATATTTTCTCAATTAAATTATATGTTTTTCGTGTCGTTCTATATTTATATTTAAGACAAATTTTATATAATTATTACAAAAATAAAACAGTAATTAACTTTCATAACTTTTTTAAAACCATAGCTGAAATGGGACATTTTAAAATTTATGAAACTGAACCAAACCATATTCGAACCGTATCCTTTTTGTTTTCGCTTGAGAATTATAACTAACCTTTATAGATAACGGTTTAGGCTGGTTTGCAGTAGATTGTAGATTAATATTCAGAGTTGTTAACGCTCCTTTTTAAAAGTAGCTGGCTCACGCTCTTGTTCCTACCTTCTCGAAAGGAGATAGCTTCCGTTCCCGCTACTAAATTTTTAAAAGGCGCTAGCTCTCGCTCCAAGAAATGGAGTGCCACTCCATAGCCGCTCCTCCGATTAACATTTTGTTTTAGAAACTACACGGAACAAAATCATATTTTTTTATCAAAAAGTTTTATTTATATTAAATGATATATAAAAATATTTATAATAATTTATTATCTTTTAAAAGTAATAAATTTTCTAAATTTGGATCTAACAAATATCCATGCCTCTCCCTTAAAACCTGTTTAGCAATACTAAACAGCTGCTTGAAGCGGGGTATTGTATATTATAAAAATATTTTTTAATTCAGTAAATTTATCAAAAATAGTAACTTTAATATCATTATTTAATATTTGTCCAATTTATTATTTTCCTGGTGATCAATTTTATGAAATTCAAAATAATCTTCCAAATGATTGTAGGGTTCCCGAGAACTAGTAGCTATTTTTGCTTCAGGAATTTATTTTTAATTAACTTGTATTTTAGTTCCATATTTTGTGCATTTTTTATCCATTCCCAATTTAATTTGAATGTAGAATGAATAATAGCCGCAAAGATATTTTTTCATTATAAACATTTGAAAACAATAGGTTATAGATAATTTATTTTTTATTTCGATTTCCTCTTCTATGATGTATGATCCATAATATCAAAAATTATTTTTTATCATATATCTATAAAATAAATATTATGACTTATAAGATTTTCCAAGAAATTTATAAAAAGAAAGAAAAACTTTATTTTTAATATTTTAACTGATTAGATGAAAAACCCATATAAAACTCGGTTCAACATTTAATATTGCATAAATTTAAATAAAATCTACATGGTATAACTTTACACATCTTGAGAAATTTTCTATTAAAAGAGGGGATGGCCAGTTAGTACCTGAACACTTATTTTGGATCTCCCTATAACACTTTCCGCCCATATTTTTGAGATGGAGAAAATTTTAAAATCCGGTATTATTCATAATATTATCATCATATAATAGGAATTAAAAAAAAAAAATAAGGCATATAATAAAATTTTTTTGGAAGACTGATAAGCTCAAAATTTTTGTATTAAAAGCAATTTATCTCATTATTAAAATCTCCCATCAAATTTATATAGCCCTTAAGATATTAAATTGTATCTATTATAAAAAAATTTTTATAAAAATATAAATTTTTATATTTGTAAAAATAGTTCTTAATATTATATTATTTTATTCCTAGAATTCACTTAAACGGATATAATTTTTTTTAGATAAATAGAACAACAAGAACAAAATTACTATAAATTCTTAATCAAAATTATAAATTCAACCTATTTTTTTGATAAAAATTAATTTTACATTATGAATATCTTGACTCTAGTAACCATTTTTGTGACACTTTTTCTATGCGTGGATTCAAATATAAATGAAAAGTTACCAATAAAAAATGAAACTCTATTCGACTTGACAATAGAAGCAAGTGATGATGAAAAGGCATCTTACCGAAATTATATATCTATAACTAAAACCCATGTCAGGTTTAATATTTATTATTCTATATGAGAAATAATAAGCCTCTTAAAATTATTTTAAAAACAACGTTTTAGTTATTCCGCCGTCGATTCGGAACAATTTTCCGCTCAAACATTGCATTAGAGCTAGCCTTTTGATTTAAATAATTTTTTAGATGATAATATTCGATAAATCTAAACATGCAAGATGTTAAACGGCTCGATTTGAGCCGATTTTAAAAATAGCTTACTCATTATTTTATTTAAAAAAAATATTACACAAGCTTAAAGATTTTTCTCATAGATGGCACAAGTATCTAGACATCTATTGGCGAAATCTCGGTGATCAGATAATAATTTTTCTGGGTAAAATATTGAGTTACCTGTTTTTAAAAATCGGCCCAAAGGCAGTTTAACAACACTACATGTAATCATTCATAGAACTAAATCTTATGACAACGTACAATACTCTTGAGAATATTTTTGTATTAGTGATATAATAAACTTATTACAATATGACATGATATCGATATTAAAATCATAAATATTTTAAAATTATATTTTTCTGACAGATTTATGCTCGATTATAGCAAACAAACAAATTGTAAAACATGTCACAATAGGTAAAAGTTTTAATTTAAACCCTAATATGTTTACAATTATAGTATATTACTGAAGTCGATTAGGAATTCATGCTAGATTATTCTCTAATCCCATTTTAAACTAATAATTATATTATATATATTTACCCTTATTCACACTAAATTTATATTATAAAACTTCTTTATCTCAGATACCCATGCTAATCAGAGTATTAAATTTTAATGTAAATTCTCTAAAAATACTAGATATAAAGTTATAATACTCTGTATAATAATATTCAAATGAAATGATGATGCATATAAGATCGATCCTTACTTAGATTCTATTATCGTATTAAAATAAAATTATATGACTAATAAATAATAAAAATTATTTAAACAGATATAGAGAAAGAATCATTGACGGTTATTGTGGCAGGTAATAAAAAAATATCATATTTAAATTTACACATTTTTATTCTAATTAAATTCAAAGAATCACTATTAGAACACTGAGATTCAATTTTTTTCTAAGCCAAAATTTGACCTAGCCAAAATTTATACTTACTTTTAAGCTTGAGCTTTGCTATTTTTAATTAAAAATATAAACACATTTTTATAATTATTAAAATAAGGTAATTACGAATTGTTAGTAATTTTCATATTTTTTTAAATAAAATGTAAATATAATTTTTTAGAAATTTTAAATCTTCCTGGCCCGGCCCTCATGGCCCAAATTTTTTAATTTTTATGGGCTCAAGGCGCTCTGAGCCCGGCTTCGACTAATATTAATGATAGGACCGGGATTGGACCCGGCTCCAATCTATGGGGCCCTAACATAAATAGACATTTGCATCAAAATTGTCTACATCAGCATTTAAAATTATCGACCTTTAAAATTATTGTGTTTTTGAATGTTGAAAATAATGGTTTCGTTAAATTGTATATAAATAGAAAATATTGAGGCATATTTTCTATTTATATAGCCATACATTTACAAAAAAAATATACTAATATAATATACAATGAAACTATAAATTCTATGATGAATCCGAACAAAAATCCTGTACTAAAAGACCCGAACAAAAGTGCTCCAGGCAAAAGACACCCGACAAAAATACCCATGAATAAAAAGGAACTAAAGAAAGTTACTTTAATTTTAGAAATTTGCTTAAATGCATTAAAAAAAGATATTTCTTTTTAAAAATATCACTAAAATATTATTAAAAATTAGGGTATTTTTGTCCAGCGTCTATGTTCATGTATTTGTCTAGGACATTTCTCCGTGATTCAAGTTCAATTATTTAGTCATCAGTTAGTAACTGAACAATAATTTTATTTACCTTTGATCTTAATTTTGAAATTCAAATTTATTTTGTTGTTTTTGTTTTCTAGACCTCATACTGGTAGTATAAATGATCATAAGCTGTTGAGACAAATCAACGACGAACAGGGACCTATGTTCTTATTCAATAATGATATCATCAAACAAGAAATTCATATTCCTACTTGCCAGTAAGAATTTTCTTGCTTTATTATCAAAATAGTTTATAAACATTAGTTATTAAATCAAAACTTTGATTGAATATTTCAAAAAGTTTAAAGATTATTTTGTTACATATGGTATGGGTTTACAAAATTAATGTTAAATTTTTAAAGACCTGATTTAACTGGAATCGGGGTTTAGAGTGCCTACCCTCTGAATTACAGACAATTTCATCATTAATTTAGTTTATTATTTATATAAGCCAAAATTGTCTGATGGCACAGGGTAGACACTACACTCTATACATATTATAATACGATTCTGACATAATCAGATTTTTTTTAATATAAAGCACCCTTTATAAACGATTTTAGTTTTAAAGATTTACTAAACCCTTACAAAGTACATAAATTAGATATTTTTAAAAACATAAAAAGCTAAAATATTGAAATATTGCATCATCTTATTCTATATAATAATGGACAAGAAAATATATTAACATAGAAATAATTTTTAAAATATAACTTAATTGTTAGGTGCAGAATTATCCACATGCCATCTTTTAAATATATCTTACTATATACTACTATTTATATATAACAGGGTGAAACAAATTTGCTGTACAGGGGACCAAATTGGAATGTCCTCGGCTAATGCAAAAACTATCAAAAATGTCCTATTCTACAGACCTGCCATCAATGGGAAACAAGCTTGTATAGTGTCTAGAGATCTTCGAGTTCCATGTTGTGAATGCCAATTGGTAATTAATATATTTTTGCTTGGTTTTTTCAAGAAAATTGGTAGTTTTTAATTTTTATCTTATTTTTTTTTATTAAATCTGTCGTGATTTACAATTTTCAGCATTAATTATTAACATAAAACTTTCACATCTTTCCAAATTAATTTGTTTGTAGAAGACTTTGCATTTTTATAAAATGAAAATTTTTCCATTGTTTGAAAGTTCCCCATTTAGAACTAAAACTTCATTTTTAATTTATTCTTTATAGAGATGCCCCGACCTCAGAAAGGATATAAACGTAAATTATGTATCCCAAACAAAGGTTAGTACTTGTACAAAATGGTGTTGATTGCCGAGTGACACGAAATTCTTCAGAATTTTTCATATTTTATAAATATTTAATTTTTTTAAATTTATTTATTACATATGTAATATAATATAATAATATTTATGAAAGATCAATAAACAAAATATTTTTTATATTGTTATTTTTTATTTACATTTAAACTATATATCAGAAACTTGCAAGCCCAACTAGACATTCTTTTTGTTTATAAAATTAATGGTACACAGAGAAAATTTTAGCGCAAAAGAATTATCGCAAAAGCATGGCCGCGAATGTCGATTACCCCAAAATGTTATTATAGCAAATGCATTACCATGAGTATAATATCGCGAATCAGGCGTGTACGCAAGAATTTGGTCTGGGGGGAGGGGGGATAATAAAATTTTTTAAGAAATATTATTGTTAATTAAAAATACTAAACATAAATTTATTAGGACTAATAACTTTTCTAATACACAATTTTAAACTAATGTAAATTAGAAAAAAATTATATATATAAACCGGCATTGAAAAACTATAAATGTGAATTATAAAATATAAAGTGAATATAACCAGGATATGAATCACTAAATGACCCGAGCCTTTAAAATATATAAAGTATAAAAAATTTAAATGTTAGAAATATAAATTAATACACAAAAAGTTTCTTAAGAATAATTGTATTTTGTATGTTTTGAGCTAATTTTTCAATTATCTATCCTTGCTTGGCGTTAGATGCCTATGAATATTCAAAAGATCCGAATCATTCATTCTACTTTCAGAAGTTGTATTTCATAGGTATGTTTTTCAGAGACTTGCAGGCCCGGCCCCCAAGCCGGACCGTATTTTAATTTTTTTAAATATACCCGGGTCGGGCCCGATTTTTTTTTAAAAAACACCCGGGCTGGGCCTGAAAATTTTTTAAAAAAAATATCCGGGCCGAGCTGTATATTTATAAAACCAAATATTCGAAATCGCCATTAGCTATAAAAATCAAAAATAAATATAATTTAATGGGAAGAGTTGCTAATATATATAACCATTTTAATACATTGGGAATATAATCTAAAATGTGTTTGAAATAATTCCAAGCATCCATAGCATCTTTCGATCAACCATAGTTAATCTTTTAATCATAGTTATTCAGCTAATAAGGCATTATAAGATATTTTAATATCTTCATGATAAAAATCTAACAAATATTTAATTTTTTTTCTATCATTATCTGAAAATAGTTGGAAAGGCTTTTGTGGAAGTAATATCTGCGGATTTGTAAGTGCTGCATGATGAATTAAAAACCATTTTTATTTGGGTTATTAATGTATGTAAGAGAGGGGACATTTGTTTTATAATACTCTTTTACTGATCCTATATTAATTTGACGATGAGCTTGCTTGCTGCAAGTCGAGGGGGACAAATATTAAACACGTATAACTCTGCTTTTGACTCAACAATAACATATAAAATATGAAATTCTTCCATTTTCTTCATGTCAATGTCATGTTTTTGAAAAGTATTACATAAAATAGTTGTATAATTAAATAATACATTCTAATGAGAAAAAAATTTGGAATAAGTATTGAATCCAATAATTTTCTTGCTTCTAAGTAAATATTTCTTTCAAGCCATTGTGATATTTCAGTTATAGCATTAATAATCGGCTCTTCTAACTCCATAAAAGCTTTTCCTGCTTGATGGTGGAGACTCGATCTCGTTGGACAAGTTTACAATTTCTTTCTCCCTATTAGACAAGGAGTTTCAGAGATAATTATTATTTGACTAGAAATTTAGATAAATATTACGCCACTAAAATTTGAAAATAATAGGTAAATTACGCCAAGGGAAACTTGAAATCGAAATTAATTGATAAAATAACTTAGATGAATGTGTTAAATAAATGTAATTAAATATATATATGAGATAGGAATAAATATTAACAAATATAAATTAATATTAACAATAATATTTTTGAAAAATATAATCCGGCATCTGCATTTTTTGGCCTTGCCCCCCCCCCCGCTGTGTACGCGCCTGTCGCGAATATGTTGCTGTCAATGCATTTTCGCGAATATAATACCGCGAAAATATTATAGCGAATGCATTATCGCGAAAATATTAGAGCGAATTCATTATCGCAAATGCATTATCGCGAATACATTATCTCAAATTACATCAATTGCAACATCGGGAATTGAATTGATGAAAATTACATTTTTTTTATTTATAGGCCTTTAGACAGACTAAGTTGAACCTAAAAATTTGGGCTTGGGTCTAAAATATTTTTTTTGGAAAGGCCTAAAGCCTTTGATTCTTTGACTCAAAATAAAAGGAATCTAAGCAATAAAAGAGATTTCTCTAGGAATAGGGTAAAGAAATTAATTTTTTATATTCATTATTTGTTTAAATATATGCGTTTAGTTATATTTCAAATAAATTGAGGGACATTACAGGCGGCCTAAAATAAAAAAATTGCTAGGCTATAGCCTAAAAATAAATAAAAATTTTGGATGAGCTGCCGAAATAAATTAAATTTGCAAGGTGCTAAGAAAATGCCTTGTTTAAGACATTGAGCCAAACAGATAATTTATCCTCGGAAATTATTTATCTCTTACATTCGCCGAATGCATTCGCGATCATGCATCCGTTAGAATGCATTCAGATATTTTTTTCTCTATAATGTATTTGCGATAATTCATTCGCTTTAATATCTTTTCACAGTAGTCAACATTCGCGATAATGCCTTTCGCGAAAAATATTTAGCGGTAACGTGATACGAAAATGAGTATTTTAAATAAATATTTTGAATTTATTTTGTTTTAGGTTCGTGATGAAAGTTGTTTTTCTACATAAATAATAATCTTAAGAGAATGTCTTTAAATAGATACTTAGATGTAATACTATATTATAAAGATAAATGAATAAAATTTGTATAATTTAATAAAATATAAATTAAAGCAAGATATTTTTCTTCAGAAACGTATTCCGAAATATGGAACAAAACGTGAACGGATTATATTTTTTTAGCCGGAACGGTATGGGAACAAGAACTCAAAAATAATTTTGTTATTGGGTCCCTGACAACTTAGGGTAAGTATTATTATGGTTCTGAATGGCCATAAAAGCTTATCAAATATATTAGTCTAGTAAAATTTCTATTGAAGTAAGCATGTTTAAATTTAAAAATAATAATTTAAATAGATGAGTCTAATGATAAACTGATATGCTATGATTAATTGAAATGGTGTATAATTAAGCCTCTGAATATTTAAATCAAGAAATACTAGCTTTAACTTCTTATACATATATTGTTATATTAATAATGAAATTTGTAAATTAGACACTATAATCAGTTAATATGGGGGATAAGGCCTGACAAAGCATACCGGCCAGAAAAAATACTTTCACGTTAATTCATTTAGCGCAGAAAATTTTATAGTTAAAGCTATGATTCAAATATATTTTTAGAGATTAAGGACTTGGCTACGCGTAATATTAAAGTTGATTGATTAAACCCAATTTTTAACCCCTTTTTTTTACAAAAACAAATCTCTGCCCCTGAAATATTTTTTAAATGCTAATTGTTTTATTTTAATTTCAAAAACTTTTTAAATATTATTCTATTATTTATTGATTATTTACAAATGTTTTTAAAAAATTTTAATACTGCTTGCAATATTATGGCTAAGTCCAAAATATCAAAAAATACGATTCGTAAGCTTTTCAAATTTTATAGACAAATATATATAAAAACACCAAATATTTTGCCATTATTAAAAATAAATATAATAAATTTTTTATCGGGGCTGGGTTGGGCCTGAAAACATAAACTCCGAACCGGGACGGGCCGGAAAAATTTTTGAAAAAAAATTTGGGCAGGACCGTATAGATGCTACATATGCCTCTGACAAAAATAAAGTTATCTCCAAAATATAATTCTAAAAAATTTCAAAAATTTAACATGGACTTAGCTAAGTAAAATAGAAATATTAACATCTTGTCTGTTCTTCGTTCTTTATAAAACATTCATTAGTTTTAAAAGAACGAATCCAATAAAATTTAATTAACAACATCATTGATATTCAGGAAAATAGGTTAATGATGCTTACTACCAAGTGAATGTATGAAAATTCTAAATACCAACCTAATTTGCTAAATACCGACCAAAATTTATTAAAATGTAATAAGACCCTTATTATTTAATATATTAATACGGAATCACGTGGTCGAGTCCGGCATCCTATATATTATCCCCCCAAGGATGGAACCACCAAGTTAGAATAAGAAAAAAAACATTCATATTCCCGTGATTCGAACCCGGGACCATAGGATAAGTAAGCCAAGCTCTTGCCTACTAGGCCATAGAGGCTTTCCAAAAATCACGATTTTTCAAATATATATTGTAAATATATTTGGTAGTGCCTGCCTATCCAAATGAAAAATGAACAAAATTCAAATTTGATAGGTAGTACCTTAAGGTAGTAAGCATCATTAACCGGAAAATACGCCATCCTCCTAGGGGTGGGGTATAATAGAGACAATGGGCGGAGTCTTAACCTGTCCATTCAATGTTTTTAAATTTTAACGCCTTAACCATGTTTTTCGAAAAAGGTTACCAACCAACTTGCCCTGTTTACCCACCCATAAGAAAATTTATTTGATTAGTTTTCTTTCATTCAGAGTTGTTAAGGAGCGGCGCTACATTTTTTAAGAACACCTGGAACGCCCCTATTTTTAAAATTGGAGAGCGGGAGCTAGCTCCTTTTAGGGCTGGAGTGGAGGAGCGCCGCTCCACCACTCTTTTAAATTTAATGTATAAATATTTTTAAATATTAATAATATTTATTAATTAAAATTCAACAAAAATGAAATTATATTTAATTTAAATTTATCCATTATTAAATGTTTAGCCGAGTTTTATATTGATTATTCATCTAATCATTTTAAATATTAAACATCAAGTTTTCCTTTTTATATTAAAAATTTTTTGGAAAATCTTGTAAGTCATATTAATATTCATTTTATAGATATATAATAAAAAATAGTTTTATATTATGGATTTAGAGATCATAGATGAAGAATTGGAATTTCCATTTCCATCATACAAAAAATATTTTAAACTTCTAAAAGATGTTGGTCCAAATGGTGTTTAAATAAAACTAACATTTTCAAAAGTGAGCAGCTTCAATCTTAAAAAGCATCTAAAAGTAAAAAATCTTTCTTTTAAATACAAATTGATTTGGAAGATTTTTTAGGATTCCATGAAATTGATCATCAGGACGATAATATATTGGACAAATATTTTTTAAATGTGCTCCTGTGAATTGCCTATTTACTATTACAAAACAGGTCTTAGGGGAGAGGCGTGGATGTTTGTTAGATTCTAATTTAGAAAATTTATTACTTTTAAAAGCTAATAAAAGGTTATAAATATTTTTATATATCATTTAATATAAATAAAGCTTTTTGATAAAAAAAAATATGATTTTGTTCGTATATCTTCTAAAAAAATGAAAGGAGAGGCTATGGAGTGGCACCCCATTACTTGGAGCGGGAGCTAGCTCTTTTTAAAAATGTAGTAGCGGGAGCGGGAGCTAGTTACTTTTAAAAAGGAGCATTAACAACTCTGCTTTCATCATATAAGGTATCTTTTTCTGAAGAATTAACTAAACATTAAAATAATAAATCTATATATAAAAATAAATTCACAAAAATTTTAACAAGTTAGGCTGGGCATAAATAAATTTCGGATCGGGCCCGGCAACTTGTGCAAAAAGTCTTAACTAGCAGGGCCTGACTTTGCAGATCTCTGCAAAATATATATTTAAGAAATTGACTGTAAAAATGTGTAAAAAATAATACTATCCAACTCATAGGATTTCTAATGTTCTGGGAAATGCGATTGGAGATGAAATCAGCAAATCTCTAGCCCTATTTTTTGATCAAAATGAAAGTAACTATTTTTAAGATTGTTTCCCTTCCGATATAAGTTTTGAAGAACAACGGTTCTAAAATTTCCAAGGGCTAAAGTGACAATTTACATAAAAATAAAAAAATTATAATAAAAAAAAATAATAACACCAAAATTTTAAATTTATTCAACTATTTAAAATATAAAAAAAATATGTATAATACCATAAAAATGATAAAAATTTATTAGTTTAACAAAAACAAAAACAAAAATAAGTTACATAGAAATGATAACCTCTTTTCGGCAGAAATAAGTTTCGTTGTAAAAAAAGTGTCATATTCTATCAAAGTAAAATGTTATAAATGATTCTATAATGTATACAATAAATAAAATACGATTTTAAATTTTTCATCATTTTATCAATGATTTTTTTATTTGAAAAAACCTATATATTATCATAATTTTATTCTTTTTAATAGTATTTAAAAATAAAAAGAACTTGTATGATAATTTTTTTAGAGGACCTTGATAATTATGACAACTTATGATTTAGATAGGGTAATTTATTTAGTTTTGTATTATTGTTAACTGCAGGAAACTCGTCCCGGAAGGGATATGATTTTAAAAATCCAGCTAGGACAATTCTAAAATGTGTATTCAAGCGCACACTATGTATTAAAAAAACGGTCCAAAATATTTTCATATAATTATATTTTACAACGAAAATACTCATGATTATGAAAATAGAATATCTAAAATAATAATTATTTCTTGTAAATTAAATACATTATGCACTGTTCACATTTAACTTTTGTTAAAAATTGGCATCCTGGAAATTTGCATTCTCCCTTTTTGTTGAATTCTATTTTGTCTAGAGTGCTGGGAAGATTTCGCCGTATTTCCTTTTGGATGAGAAATGTGTGGCTTTTCAGTTTTGCATTTTTATTAAAGTCTATTTTCCATTTTTATAAATTTTTTATTATTTTAAATAGATTATTTCTCTGAACTCATTACATCATGAATCTTATAAATCAATCTATATTATATGCTCTGATCTCCTCTACTTTACTCAGCTCTTACCCCATATATAGTTTTGGTAAAATTAAGTATTATGATATAAATTAAAAAATGCACAAAGGTTTATGGAGAAATTATTTGAAATTCATAGGGATGGCACTCTATGCAAGAAATAGGAAAGGTACTCCACCCAGGTTGGATTACATTTCTGGGAAATTTTATATTAAAAAAACCCTAATTTCGGATAAATCGTTATAGAAACACTTAGTACATAATACGCTCAAAAGCAAATACAAATCAAATACCATTATTCGATTATGAATCTAATAATTTACTATTGGTATTCAAATATAATATAATTTACTATTTGTATTCGATTCATTTGGCAAGGAGGATACATTTTTTTTAATTTCATTTTAAACCAAAATATTGCAGAAAAATATAGAAATCCAAAATTCCAAAAAATTATAATTTATAAATATTGTCATTTACTCCCAATCAAATACGAGGAGGGGGGGGGGGGGGTTAAATTAAATTTATTTATAAAAATTATTTTAGGAGTCATTTAAGAATAACTTAAAATAAATTTATTAAGACTAATGACTAATACTGTTGAACTGCTCGATTTGAGTCGATTTTTATAAAAGGCTAACTCAATATTTTATCCAGAAAAATATAAAATCTCAAGATTTTGCTCATAGATGGCAGAAAGGTTTGGACATCTATTAGCAAAATTTCAAAGCTTAGGTCATATTTTTGTGACTAAATTCTTGAGTTAGCCATTTTTAAAAATCAGCTCAAATCGAGCCATTTAACAACACTACTAGTGACTAGAAAATATTGACAATTTCGAATACATAAATTCGAAAATAAATTAATTAAATGCATAATCGGAGTATGAATCATAAAATAAATAAATGTCTCGAAAAAAAACATTGTAAAAAAGAATAAATTTTTTAAGTTATATAAAATTTGATATATGAATTTAATAAATTATATGTAAAAGAAATATTGGAATATAGATGCAGGCACAAAAATATTTCCAAGAATTATTGTATATTCAAGTTTCCCAACACATTCATGAAAATAATATGGTGTATCTAAAAATTAGGTTCGATTTGATAAAATTTTTAAAAACGGCTAATTCAATATTTTAGCATGAAAAACATTGTCAAACCCTCAAGATTTTGAAGCGTCTTTTAGCTAGAAAAACATTGTCAAACTCTCAAGTAATGAGTGGTCAAACCTTTGCCATCTATAAGCAAAATCTTCCGGTTTACGTAATATTTTTCTGGCTAAAATATATTGAGCTAGCAGTTTTTAAAAACCGGCTCAAATTAAGTCATTTAACAGCACTACTAAAAATGGTTAACAAATATAATTAATTAGCATATAGATATATAATGTAAAATTTAATATTTTTGAGATTGAGTTAATTTTTCAATGATTTTATCAGGCGATAACATCCTATGTATATTGAAGGGCTAAAACCTATCCAATCTATTTTCAGTCTTAGTAATATTGTTAAACGACTTAATAACCGAATATATTATCCAAAAAAATATTACGAAATCTTAAAGCTCGTGCTCACAGATGGCACAAAGATTTGGACTAGAGGTCTGCAATGGGCGGATTTTTAGCCCGCCTACTGTTCATAATTCAAACGGGGTTCATATTATCCAAAATATTTTCAACATTGGGCAGGTGACAGGCGAGTTAAAAATTATTTTAAGTAATGGGTGTGTTAATTTTTATTATTTTTTAGGCGAAATGAGCAGAACAGACTTCATTTTATTAAAAATAATAGTTTAATTTCATAATATGTTTAATTAAAAATACAAAACAAATAAAAAGGCCAGACCAGCCATTAAAATAATTTTTGAATATTAGGCAAGCAAGCGGGTTAAACAAAATTTACAGATAAATGGGTTGGCATGTAATTTTTTTTTAAAAAATGAGCGGGAGGATTAAAAAAATTTCAAAACAACGAGTGGGCAAGATTTTTGTATTAAACTATCCGCCAACACAATATAATAAAATATTGACAAATACAAAATATTATCTATAAAACCGGTATATAAATCACAGAAAAATATAGGATAATCATGATTATTTAATAATTGATCAAATATCGTTCAAAAATGAAAACTTAATCTTCTTTGCGATTGCACCAATTTTTCAATAATTTGTTCTGTGTTAGGGAATAGATCTCGATGTATATTAAGTGAAGCTAGTCCATTCAATCGATTTTAAGATGTCGTAGATAGGTTTTTATTCGTTGTAATGAAAAAGGGCTATCCTATGTGAGTTTTATCCATTAAAATATTATGATAATAAGATATTTTCAGAAGAGTATTTTGTAGAGCCACCACATTCCCTATTTATCTCTATTAGTGGATGTCCTTCAAAATACCTTCCAAAATCAATAATAAAGTAACATGATAAATTTTTTGAAATTGTATTATATGTTTGTTCTATTATATTCAAATTCTGGGTCTATTTAATTCTAAAAAATATCTGCAAATGTTTCTATATGATATTATTATTTAAAGGTTAATAAAATATGACTCAATTAAAATTCCAGGGGCATTTGATATTAAAATTCAAAAAAATGTGAAAAACTAAAGATTAATTATGTTTTTGCATACATTTAAAAGAGATGATCTTACTTTCACAGTGACATTTGTTTTGACCATTTAAAACAATGACTAAAACACGAAATTGAAAAACGGCGTTATTTTGAATTAAAATATTTTCCTATAAATTGCAAAAACTAAAATAAATTATGAAATCATCATTGAAATCTTGAAACTAACCATAAATTATCTTATTAATCATTTTGATCAAAATCATACAAATTTGCCTGTTGGTAAAAGAGACATAATCTAAAAATGGCGTTAGAGGAGACAGGAGAGCATGCAGATCCCTAAACGGCAAACGTCAATAAAATCAAAACTATTTTATAATATTGAATAAATTAGTTATTTTATCCACTTATTCTTTTATGCCATATATAAAGTTACACCTATTCAGTGTTGTTAAAGTAGCGCGCTATCTTTTTTGGTAGCTATAGCTAATAGCCGCTACTTTTTTTAAAATTATTTAATTTTTTAGCGCGCTAATTTTTTTAAAAGTAGCTAAGTAGCGCGCTACTTCGCTACTTTTAAAAAATATAATGAATGTAAGTATAAACATGAAAATTTAAATATATTATCATAATTAATTATAATTTTTATAATTTATTATTTAATTTTGAAATTTAAATATATTTTCAATTTCTAATTTATATTTTCAATCTGTGTTAATAATCTAAAATGGCATCGCCCATGGATATCCAAATCCTTGAAAGTGATTCAGACATGGAAGATTCAATGGAAGAAAATGTACTTAATAGCTCTAATAACGATTTCCCATTCCCTAGATTTGAAAAATTTTTTTAAATAAATATTAAAACAAAATTTGGATTCAAATTCCTGTGCTTAAAATGTAAAAAAAATATATTATCAAATCAATCGAGTAGCTATAACCTGAAGAAACACCTAAAGGTAAATTGTTATTTTTACATTATAATATTATTTATTTTATTAGACTGTTCACGCCAATTGCTATAAGGAAATAGAGAAACATATAAAAAATTTTGGTATAAGAGAATCTGAATTCAAAAAGACAAATACTATCCAAACCAAATTAACTGATAATAAACATGCCAATATTTCACAAAAATTGGCTGATAAAGTAATTGTTGATTTTATTATTGACACAGTTCAGCCATTGTCCTTGGTTGATAATCCATCATTTACTATGATGATTAAAACTTTATCCCCTGGCACAACAGTTTTATGTCGCCAGACACTTATGAATAAAATAGCCGACAACTTCAAAGTGATGAAAGATGCTCTAATAGTAGAGTTATCAGATATATCTTATGTGTATGTACACCGGCAGATAGTTGGACACATAACAGAAGGTAAAAACTTATTTATATTTATAAATTGATCTGATTAAATATTTTCAGAGCTTCCTTGCCCTCAAGTGCTAGTGTCGAGAGATTATTTAGTAAAGCAAAGCTTATACTTTCTGATCGTCGCTCTAGACTTGGGGATGATAATATTGAAATGATATTATTATTAAAATGCAACAAATTAAAATAAATATTTATTTATATTGCTTATTTTTTTATAATCTAAACTAACTATATTTTTATATTTATAAATGTTGATTTTTATATATTATATATTATACATTTACATTATAAGCAAAAAAAAAAATTTGTTTCATTTGTTTCTAAAAATTTTTTTATAAAAAGTAGCTTAAAAGTAGCTAATAGCGCGCTACTTTTTTTGACAAATAGCTATAGCGGTAGCGTGCTAATAGCGTTTAACAACTCTGCACCTATTTAACAGTATTAATATTTCCGAAAAGGCTACACTTCGAAGTGGATGAGCTTCCTCTGAGGAGCATTCGAATTATTTTTAAATATAAAAATGATATATATTATTGCAACTACTTTATAGATAAAAATAAGCCATAATGGAAAATTATTATAAAAAATTGGTGAAATTTATTACAAATTTAAACAAATAAAGAATGAATTAAAATTGAAACAGGATTCATATGCCCCAAAAAGAGAATTTACATGGGACAAAGACCCATAAACATTTTAGCTGCATTTATTAGATAATTGTATAATATAGTTTCTTGCTCTTTCTTGAATATTCATTTGATGTAGTTAAAATCTTGTTGTTTCAATAATCTTGATTTTTACTATTTCCTAACCTAAGTTGGTTTTCTCTATAAGGGCTAAAAGAACGGATTTCCATTAACTATATTTACGATTTTATAATTTGTTAGTTATTTATTTTTTCTAATATAATTTCTTACTATATTCAAATTTCTTAGTCAAAAATTAAATTATCGTATAAACCTCTGAAATGTAGCCCCAGACCCTCAATAGCTTTAAAATTAAATTTTATGGTAGATTAAACTTTTTTTTTTGTTCAAACAAAGAATAATTTTATATAGAATAGGGTTTAATCTTTTATATATGATGGTGTTATTTTTTATTTTTGATAAATTGAATTAAAAAAGTTTTTGAGTTTAATTATTTTTGCAAAGATTAAAATTTTATATGGATGGGTTTTAATTTAATCGTCAATACGTTTCATTAAATCATCACAACACTGTCATATTGTTTTATAAAAATTTTGTATGTGATCCGATATTAAAATAAAATATAGTCTCACAGTGGCGTATCCAGGATTTTCCTATAGGGGGGGAAATTTTTTGGGGGGCTTTGCCTCCAAACCCTCTTTGGCCAGCTTTTTCCTCACCTTTGGCCGGGGTCATATCTTTGATCTATTCTTTTAAATTATTCATAATTCAATAATAATTATATTAATATTTTTAATTTTTATTTGAATTTTGGTTCCTTTTATAAATTAATTATTTAAGAAATTTTTTTTTTAATTTTTAAATTTAACATTTATTAATAAAGACAAATTAAATCTGACAAAATGATAGTATAAAAATAAAATTCCAAAACATAATTCTAGAAAATTCAAGAAATTTAACAAACAAGGACTTCATAATACAAAGTATAATAATAGATATAATAGAAATATAATAAATGCAAATGATAATATGAAGAAGAAGGGGGGGGGGGGGGGTTTAAATAATTTAGGGAAGAAGAAGAAAATCTAGATTAATCGGCTCCTCGGGGAATGAACCTATGGCGTGTAAAATTAGATTTTATAATCTGAATTCCTATGCGTTGACGTAAGTAGTCGCTTTCTTTTGGGTCTCCTGATTACTAATTCGCGCTTATGAATATAAGAAGAAATAAAAGTTATAACCCAATTTTTATTTTAAGTTAGGTATATTATAGATAAATTTTTTTAAAAAAATATAAAATTGAAATAAAGTTTAGTGTCAATTTTTTTTTTTATAAAATTTGCTTTAAAAACTAGCCTCAGCTTAAATTCTCATATAATATAAATATATTTTTTGATTGAAAATTCTAATTGTAGTGAGTATAAAATATTGACTAGAAAATTTTTTAAAGAACAAGTTTTTATAACTTATTAAATACAATATTATATAAAAAATTTATTAAATACTATAATTATAATGCGATTTTTAATTTTCGTGGGAATTTTTCTAATTCATCAAGAATTTTCTATGTCGTTGGAAATAAATCTCTGTGGATATTTAACATAGCTAGCCCATTTAGCCGAGAAGTAGTATTTTGTAAATAAGTTATCAACCTTCTCAATTTGGAAAAGGTCCTTTCATTCGTATATGTTGTAATAGGCAAACATGCAAGAATACCTTCAAAATAAATTAAGCCTCCTTATACCGATTGAGCGCATCAATAGCATGCTCAGGTAAAATAATAAACGTAGTAAATATTTATACCACAATTCTAATTCACTGATTAAATTGATTTCAGTATCAACATTAAAATTTTGCTAAATATTTAATTATACCAATAATGGCATCAGAAAACGAAGAAGGGTCTTTTGGTAATAAAATTTGAAGATTACCAAAGACTTGTTTTTTATCTAAAAACCGTACTTTAATTTGCGATAAAAAAGTATCTAAGAATGGAATGAAATTGGATATTTTATAAGATTTAATTCAACGTCTATATAAATATTATGAAATATTCAACTACATTCATTCTTCCTGTCCACATTTTCCTCCAAATCAATATCTTGAACCAAATTGAAATTTGGTTTTTGTAAATTTCTACATAGTATTGAGCTATAGGAAAATAATTTGTTAATGCAACTAGCAGTAAGGATAAACTCTGCTTGATATTGAAAAATTTTGATGGGGCAAGGGGGAGGGGGTCCGGGGGTCGGGGTAAAATTTTTTATTATCTTAAAATAATATTTAGAAAAACAGTCAAATTTGCTATGGGGGGTGAAATTTCCCCCTTTCCTCCCCATTGGTTACGCCTGTAGTCTCATATGTAGTTAGTTATACATGTTTGTCTAAAAAATTAACCATTAGAGTTGAGTTCTCTAGAAGAAAATTTTGAGGTTGGCAAGAACCTCGTACTCATAAGATCCCCGGTCTCCTGTTTTAAAATGCATTTCTTTTCAAATACCTTTTTTTGATATAAATTATATACGTATATTCTTTTGAAAACCAAACCATTTAATTGATGCATCAATGGCTAAAATAATTTGTAGGCTTGAATTATAATGATGAAGTATCGGAGAAGTGCTTATCAATTGTTTTAATTTCTCGAAAGAATTCTGACATTTATGACGATGATCACTTTGATGTTTTAATTAAAATAACTGTAATTGTTTTGAATTTTCTAGTTTTGGTGCCTTAACCATCACTTCTATATTTTTAGGATGTTGTCGTGATCCCAATTTTATGAAATAATATGACCCTATATTCAATATTTTATTGGGAAAAAATGTATATTTACAACTTAAGCTTGATTTCATTATTATCAAGATACTTTAAATATCTTTCATTTTAAACCAAAATTACAAAATAATATATATATTAAGAAACCATTAATAAATTTATTATAACATAACAATATAGAAAAAAATTCTTGGCTTATTTTTTTACAAAAAAACTCACTAAAGGATGCACCTTTAGTCCTAAAGCTTGTTTCATATCAAATCATTTATTTTCCATTTCATTCCATAGGTTTTATTTGATTTTTTAATATCATTTTATTATCGATTTTACTACCCCGCTTGTGTCGTTCTTAGGAACCTAAAAAATTTTTATAATTTGATATTTTTTTAAAAATATATTTTATTTAAGAAATCTATTAATAGTGATGGTACTAATTAATGACCAAACCTGAGAAAAGTGATTTTGTTTTTTCTCATAGCAGATATAAGATAGATTGATTTTGATAAAATTAATTTAATATGTATATCCCAAACATTATGAGACCAGTAAATCCCAGGCTATTTATCGAGTATATAAAAATAAAACAATATATTGAATCATAAATGATACTTGATTATTAACATTTTAAATAAGCCCATTTATGCCGCATCTAATTTATAAGACAAAACCAACAACGTCCGGTAAAGTTTGGACACGTAAGTCGAAATATAACCCAATATTTATCCTAGCCATCTTATATACTAACCTTAACCCACACCAAACTTCATGGTCCATTATTTTCTTAAAACTAATTTTTTTTATTGTTTTATTATAATATATTTCTGTCCGGGATATTTTATCGAGGTTTTTATGTCTAAAAATGTCTAAACATTTCTGTCATCGGTGTGCAAAATATCCAAATTCGGGAAAATGATCGGCTGAATTAAACCATTTAACAACACCTGGAAATATAGGACAATATTGTTGTGAATTTTTAAATTACTCTTAATTTATATCAACCTTTTACAGCAATATTTGTCATTAAAAAGATAAAATTTGGAAAAATTGCCTGAAATTAACCTGGAAATCGATTTCGGCAAAATTAGGTTATACAATTTTTTTTAAAAACACCAACTATAAACTATTTAGGTTTTTAAAAATATTACAAAAAACCCCGGGTTTACGAAGTAGACTTGTTAACCTTAACCCCTACTACATAATATAACTCTTTCATTAAATACAAGATTACTTTTATCAATGGAATTTTCCTAAATTAATAATTTTTCCGATAGTTTGTATATTTTTAAATAATTATTTAATTTCATAACAAAAATAACTAAGATTTTAACGAACTCGAATCGAACCATTATTTTATAATTGTAACAGGATAAAAATATATTAATTTCTAAATTATATATAAAAAATAACAATAATTTGAATCTAGATTTTTTTTAAAAAAATTATTCTTTAATTATATGGGTTAGGGTCAATTTTTTTCTCTCCAATTATTTACCATCAACAACATTTTATTTTTTAGATAAAATTTTTTGAATTTAATTTTTTAGTTTTAGACAATTTAAAAACTTCGAATAGAAATAATATCGTATCAAAGAATTTAAAAATTAAAGTATAAGGATCATCTGTCCTTCATGTCTCCCATACGTAAATAAAAATTTTAAATATTAAAGAAATTTAATTATCTTTACTAATTATTATTTCATCCATAGGGTAATCGTCTAAAGGGATTCAGTTGAAGTAGGGGAAAGCTCCTCATTAATCCACTTCGTTTTTATTATATTTTAAATTAGTGTTGTTAAACGCGTTTTGAGCCGATTTTTAAAAACGGCTAACTCATTATTTAATCCAAAAAATATTACGCAAGCCTGAATATTTTGCTCATAGAAAGAACAAAGATCTAAACATATATTATCGAAATCTCAAGGCTTAGACAATATTTTTCTGGCTAAAATATTGAGTTAGCCGTTTTAAAAAATCGGCTCAAAACAAGCCGTTTAACATCACTATTTTAAATTGTAAATGTAAGAAATTCGATCGGGCTGATTTAAAGAAAATGTATTTAAAATATGATCAATTAATCGAATCAATTGGAAATTGTTGCAAAATCATAGAATAGAACCTTAATACATTTATTCACATTTTCGATTCCCATTGATGGAATTTTAAAATATAGCCAAAATTTAAAAAAAAAAAATTTAAAAAAGGGAGTATGGCCGTAAATATAATTAAAAATAAAAATCCTGTCCCGAGACAAAAAAAAAATTATTTTTTCAAATCTGGAATTTTTACCTCTGCAGGTCTCTGATATATATTTTTAACAAAAATTTTGATTAACAAAAGAATTCTTTTCTTTAATAACTACAGAGGAACAAATTATAAACGAGCCTTAGAAATATTGCAGAATGGCAAAAAATATGATAAATTTGTTAATAACTATTTTTTAAACAAAAAATAACCCTTGATTACAAATCATTATTTTTCATTTCAACCCCTAAAATAAAAAGCAAAAACAAACTTCTCAAAAATATTTATTACCCAGGACTTCAGAGATTCCTTATTCCATAGGAAATTTACAAAAAGGCAATCTTATATCAAAAAAATGAATAAATTATACAGGTATAAATATTTTTTAAGTTAACTACCTCTACAAAAAAATTTCCTGTTTAATAATGACTAATAAAATAATATCTTAAAACGAAAATTTTGCAATAATTTAATTTTTTTAAGTTCTAAAACTCTCTTAAAATGATAAAAAAAAAATAGCGAATTTTATAAATGACTTATGTTATGCCTATGATGTTGATGAGGCATAAAAGGGGGAAATTGTCAATTTGGTATATTTCCGTTTTATTAAAATTCAAACATATAAAGGAATTATTATTAAAAGGATACTTTATTAAATGGTTCAAAGTATTAAAATATTTTAAAAAAATAATAATTAACAGGGGAGAGGCCATGGTCATTCATAAATGTTACAAGATTTAAATTTTTTTCTCTTCATATTATTTATAAACTTTCTTTTAAAATATACTTGAATTATTAATATTATTTCGACATTTTTTTGAATTTTTTAAATTTAATTTTTATAAATCATTTAAATCAAATATTAATGATAAAAATATAAATATAAATTTGACAAGACAAAATTCCATAACTTATATTTTTGCTCAAAAATGAATAGAAAGTCATATATACGTAACACGGTGTTCAATATCTCTACCGTGACAATATTTTTATTCGTTTTGAATGTGGCGGATACTCAATATGTTAAGGAAATGCTCAAGTGTCGTATAGAAAAGGGGAAAATGGCAGGTCCCGCCAGATGTTGTCCGGGAAAACGTTTGAACAATTGCGATAATTTTACGTGTTGTAGCACATATTTAGACTGCGGTATATGCCATTTTTATATTCAATATATAAAAAAAAATCCTTATTAATTCACGCATAAACTTTCAAATAATTTGAATCATCATATATACTATCTTGACTTAATGAGGAAGTTAACTTAATTTTTAAGATAGGATTATAATAACTAAATAGAGTGTTTGTCGTTATCTTTTTTAACTTTGTAAGGGGAAAAAAACCCTAGCAAAATAAGAAAATTCTATCTAAAATTAACTCGAATAAATAAATTTTAAAAAATATAAAAGATTTTATGAGCCCTCCAAACTTTACAAAGAGATTAAGACCTCATGTCCCCTAAACATGCCGCTGGTGAGGGGATGGGTCAAAATCCACATTATATACAATGATAAAAGGTAGCTAAGCCACTAATAATACTCCATATAAATTAACTTATTTAGCCCTAATTATCGTGTAAAATATTTCTTAAATTTGTAAAGGATTAAATGAATTTATTACCAAATATAATATTTTTCATGGCAATATAAAATAAAAAAGAATATCTGAACTAAAAAAAACGTAATTGAAATACATTATAGATCATAGTTGCTCAAAAAATAAAGGTGTTTGCGTGTCAAAGTCCTGTTGTCATGGGGATATTTCTAAAATAAGTTCATGTGGCTCTGAAATGGACACGGTTTGTTGTCTTTCTGACATAAAATGCGGTAATTTTTTTAAAAAATATTTTATTATATCTAACGAACAAAATTTACAATAAAATTTTCTAGAAACTATATAAAGTTTTCTATCATATAATATTAAATTTTCTCCTTCACTCTTCCGTATAAAATTTACAATCAAAATGTTTAGCTCTTTTAAATGTTTCCACTTCTCTATCGTGAACTACTAAAATATTTATATATCATGAAGGTTAAAAGCTGGATCGATATTAAAAAAATATCACTTCACTAAAGATCATATTAATAAAATTCGAAATACTAATATCAATATACTGGGTCAATTTTTTTAAATGAGAATCTCCCAAGCAGATAAACACCGATACCAAGGCCGATAACTTTAACTGGCTTATCAAACAATTTAATATTGTAAAGAAAATTGCTTTTTTTATAAAAAACATTTAACATAAAATTGTTTCTAAGAGATGATATTTGTAAAATAAAAATAAATATACTTGTAACTTTATATGTATTTAAAAAATATATAACTTTAAAATCGATGTAAACTATTTATATATTGTTTTAAACTGCCAAATAACATCCCAATTAAGCTAAATTTATTTTGGAAAAAGAATTTGTTAGCGTCTATGTGTGTTTTCCGTCAATGTGTTATTTTTTCAACTTAAAATCATTTTTCAAGGGTATTAAATTTATAAATCTGATTTTAGTGAAAATATATCCTATCATGTTTGGAATACCTATCCTATAAGTTTCAGTCAATTTTACCATGTACTTTTGAACTTAATATAATTTATATTTTTTTCCCATAGATTTTTTAATATGAATTATAAATGGCTCAAAGGTTGGCAAAATTGTCTATAATTTATAAGATAGGCACCTTAAACATGTTAGAACTGGTAAAATCAGATTTTTAAATTTAAAAAGATGGGTTCAAATATTTAAAGTTAAATAATAAAACAATGTGGGAAAAAACATTGACGCTAACATTAAAAAGGAATTATTTAATAACAAAAAGAACGAATAGAAAGAAAAAACTATTAAAATAAAAAAGAAATGTTAAATAAGATTTAAAAAAATTTAATTGGGTTTGTTTATAGTATAAAAAATATAATTTTCAAATAGTAGAGCTAGTGACACTTTTCACGATGTAAAGGTAAATCCCATAAAATGACCACATAATAAGGGTTCCATTTTTTAAGTATTTTAAACCCAACTTACGGGGTTAAGATAATAAGGAGGTGATCATAAATATATTTTTTTAATTTTATCTTGTTCTTATATTATATTTGTATATGTTAGTGTCAATGTGTGTTTTCCTACTTTTTCAAACTTTAAAATATTCTTTGGCGATATTTTTAAATTTTAAAAAAATCTGATTTTAGTAGAAATATGCTTTATCATGTTTAGAATACCTATCCTTTGAATTTTAGACATTTTATTGTTAAATTTTAAGTCATTTATTTATATGAAAAATCTATGCAAAAATTTATATTAAATTCAAAAAGGTCATGGCAAAATTTTCTAAAATCACAAAATAAGCTTTCTATTTAAAAAGACACATTGACGCTAATATACATTAAAGATTTACTTATAAAAGAAAATTATGTTATAAACCAATGATCCCAAGTGAAAAATATTGATTATATTTCTCTTTTTCTAAAGATAAAGATCTATTCCCAAATATTTTCGATATGACAACATCCCTATATGATACAAAGGACAAGAGAAGGAAGAAAGGTATGCTTTATATAATTGCTTAAATCTGGATGTTTGATGCCCTTTATATAATCTATCCCTTTTTTTTCATTTACTGTTTTATTATTATTTAATTTATTGACAGTAAATTAAGGTGCTCTAATATCAACTTTTTACACACACAAAATGTAACATATTTTAAAGGACATTTTTTATAGTATCCTTTATAAGTAGTTAATTCAAATTCATTTATTTTCTTATCAAAACCTTCGAAAACCATGTGAAGTCAATTTATACAATATTTATACTATAATATGAAAATTCATTACATTGATAAAAAATTTGGCTAATCTTAACTCAATGTTATTCAAGTAATGTAAAGAATGAAGGTGAATATAATTATATTAATTTCATTATAATCATAATTCAGGCAAACTTAAATTTGTTATTGATAAATGTTCATCCTTAAATTCTAACTTTTTGATGCTAAAAATAAATTATTTAAAATAGTGGTTATTAAAAACTAAATCTGATCTCCATCTTAAGATATAGATCGCCCCATTTAGAAAAATATTCAACTTTTATTATTACAAAAGGATTAAAGATTTCCCCTTCTCAATGCCATTCTTAATAAAAATTTTCAAATCTCTATTAATTATCTTTGCGTATGAAGAAAAAGAAAAGGTGGATAATTTTATCAGTTATGGAACATAATTCTCAACCCGGTACTTTTATTTCTTAAGTTTAAACGCCCCCATCTCTTTCTTCACGCGCAAAAAATGTTTGGATAAAAACGGGTTTACTATTAGGATGTATTTTTGAATTTTTAAAATATTATACCCATGAGAATGAGTCTAACTAGGATATTATAGTTTAAAAAGATTGATAAACAATTATTTTTATCAACCCTCATAAAGGTTTTCTTTTTTCCTCTTCTTCTGAGGCCGAAAATTCTAAAAAAAAAATAGGTTAATCCTCGAGAGTGAGTTTACCCCCTTTCAAGTTCAAGCTTTCTTCACACCAAAAATATATCTTAAAAATGACTTCATCCTGATGAAAATTTCTTTTAAAAAACATTATTAACATATAAATGAAGCCAGAAAATGAGTACAGTTAGAACTTTATATAGTTTATAGAGTCCTGAATATGGTATATATTTGTTTAACTTTTATTATCTTATACTATTTTGAACATCAACCAAATAAAAAGCCTATGAAACAACTATAGATATAAAACAATTAAAACAACCGCTCTTAACTTGCCGAATGTCGCCATCGGTTTGAATTTGTCCTACTTCCACTCCCTTCTCACATCCACATCTTCCCTTCTTTTTTCTTTTGTCACTCTCATTCTAGGGCTGAATCCTGATGGGAGGAATATAAGGAGGGTTTCATTATTTGGAATGAATTATCATTTTTAAATTATTTTCTGTAAAAAGGGTAATGCTGAGAAAAGTGTAGGCACTTTAACTACAATTTATGATAGAGCACAAATCATCATCATAAATTCTTTCTAATTTTAGAATTCTTTGAAAATATATATTTAATTTTTTTTTTAAATAACATTCTAGAATTTGATCGTTACCAGGCCACTGTATTTGCTGATTACGCGCGTTTATTGAAAATGAAAGATTATATTATGAGAGCAGCTGTAGAAACTGGTGTAGACGAATATTTGCTGGCATCATTTATTAGTAAAATGTCGCGAAGTGGCAAAAGATTATATGTTAGGGGTTTTGGACCTGATGATAGATGGGGCCTTTTACAAGTTATATACTATTATATAAAATCAAAATTACTTTACAAACATTTATACTTGTTAAATTGCATTTTATATAAGTAGATAGACACAAAAAGGCATATACCCAACGGGTCCCCGTATAGCTACGCCAATATTAAACAAGGAGCTCAAATTATGAGAAACATGAGAGAGCTGATAAATAGGAAATTTCCTTCTTGGAATTCGGAGAAATTGATGAAAGGTTGAAATTAGTAAATTCTTAAAAATATCATTGAGTGAAATATTAGTTAAGTTTTCAGTATAGACTAAATAAAACTTGTTTCTCGCAACGTGTATTAATATTTCAACCAGTCGGTGGTTAATTTAGTGTATGTAAGTTAAAATATCCCAAAAGTACCACATCACATGGAATATATTTTTAGCAAAAAATTATCTTCAAATTTAAAAACGCGTTCAACAAACTATTTAACGATTTTCTAACTTTAAACCATTTATTTAGAGAATTTTCTATATTAAAATATCTGTTTTTGCCTGAAATGCATTCTAGCACATTTACTTACATTGCCGGAAAAGATAACATATATTATTTTAAAATTAATAGTTATTCCTAAAAATAATTTAGAAACTAAATATACCTAAGCAATAGTGAAAAAAAGAATCATGTTAATATTTAGCAAAACTCTCATTTACAAAAAAAACATATAGCTACAATTGGAATGTACAAACTTGGAGATATAAAGAAATTGACATCTTACAGCATTTTTGAGAGCATGATAATGAAATCCTTCATTGAAGACATCATAAAAAGGGCTCAAATTTTTAAGAAGCTAAAAATATTTACTACAACTAATACAAGAGATTCGGTGGACATATCGGCAAGCGAAATTAAAGCAGAATCTAAAACATTATACAAGAAACCTACCATTTATAAAAGCGATTTACGAGATATGGATTCAACTGATTCATTCTGTTTTCCCTTTTTTTTAAATAATTATTTATTATCTCTATTATTTTTCCGTACCATAGTTAGCTTACTAAAACTTTATATTAGGCTTACAAAATGTTCGCTTTTCTTTATTTTTAGAGGTTTAGAAATATATAAAGTGATCTAATATAATTCATATAAAAGACAGTTAAGGAAATAATATTCATGTCAAAATACTTTTTTGTTATAAAGCTCAAAACTTTCTTCTAACGTTTTGAACTTTTTTTGTGAGTGTTTACGATCGATCTTATTTTATAGACCTTAAATTTTGATAGAGAAAAATAAAACTAAGACATATATTTTTTTATTGGTTTTAAAATAATATTCAAATATTTATGTAATACGATTAGCACTTAAACCTATCTATGATTTAATATTCGTTCTGAAAACCACTGGTGCTTCTAGCTCAACCGTAGAAAAATTTAACTTAGATGTCAAAGGTATATTATAATTAATGCCAATAAAAGTATCTACATATAATTTGTTGTAGGTATTGCAGCATCACAATATCTCATAAATTTAGATCTAAAAGCATTGATACCATTGGCCTCAAAAATTAAAAGTGTTGCGAGAATCACTAGCATACCAGGGGAATTAATAGCCGCACTCATTAGTCAAAGGTCTCGAGTTGGGGCCCTCTTAAATGAAAGCTATTACGGAGAAATTGGATTTGGATTATATCAAGTTACTTAAATTCTCTAACAATGTAATAATATTATTTTAAATTTATAATAGCTCGGTTATGTTCCGAAACATCCAATGGCATCTCCATTTAGTTATTTCCATATACAAAATGGTGCTATAGCCTTCCATAACTATTTAATTATGTTGAAACAAAGTTACCCTATATTCACATTTAAACAATATCTTATAGGTAATTTTATGATACGTTATATAATACAAACATAATTTAAATTCAGGAGCTTTGGTATCTTTTGAATTGCAAACTTTTTCAGTTCCATCCTTAGACGAAATAAAAGATTTATATGTTAATGGCAATTTAGCTATGGATGTCATAGCCCGAGCTCAGTGGTTAAGGTACATAGGGTATCCTAACAATTTTCTCTACATCAATTCGAATAATTCAAATCTAACCGGTAATGAAGTAGTGATGGTGAAAAGTGAAAATATAGCTTCCATTAACCAAATTACCACAACACAAATATCTACTTTAAAAATTTATGACACTACTGGCACAAATGAATTCATTGAACTTTCCGAAAATACACCAATTGATACTGAACCTTTAACGTTCGCCGATGTTGTAACATACTCTGAAATCATTGATTCTGAGGTAGATAATTTCATTACTGTTCCTAAAGAAGATTTAACATCTATTGGTTATCAAAGTGCAATTTTAATTAATGATAGCTTTGAAGAAATTATATATCCTGATGTCTCTGCATATATTTCAATTCCAACATTTCCCTCAATATTTGATTTCTCTCCAAAAAATCAAATATTAATCGATTATGATCTAATAAACTTTACATCTTTATTTGAAACAAATTTGGATACAGATGCTACAGCAAAAACTCCTAATTTATTAAATAAAATTTTAACAGGAAATGAACAAATACTCACAGAAACAGATATAGATTCGGAAAGAGTTTCTGCAAATATATTAGCTATAAATTCAATAGATTTAGTTACCACTAATTATAATAATATATTATATATAACCAACAAAATAACTGATTCCACTTACATTCAAGACCATAAATTTGATACACAAGCTATTGCCGATATCGTTATCACTGACTCTCCAATCTTGGTAAACAATGTAGATTTAGTAGATAAAACTCACGCGATAACTAATAATATTGAGGTTCAAACTCATGAAATATTCCAAAATATACAAACTTTTATTCCAACAATATACGAAAAACAAACAAAGAATCATTCCAGTTTTCAACATAATTTAGAATTTCACCAGATAAACGATATAGTCGCACATTATATTCCTGATGTTACAACAATAGATACTTTCGAATTTCCTTCAGTATCTTTCCCATCCATAACTCTAATTAACAAATCTATAATTATAAATTCAGAAAATAAAAATACAAAAGGACAAATAATTTATAATATAACCGATACCATATCCAATATGTTCGTTAATATTTCATCATTGATCTATGACAACAAAATTATTATAACTAATGAATCTTTGAACTTAGTTATTTCTTTCCGAACAACTAATGATTCATCTACTTATAATATTCTTGACTTAGATGCAATTAATAAACTATTAATGTCAACTAATCTGTTTGATAAAAACGATTGTGATTGCAATAAGATAATGAATATTCATTTATCGCTTTACATCAGAAACTCGTTAAATGACAATATAATTTCCAATATAAAATTAAAAGGTTTAAGCAATAATTCGGAAGTGATAATAATATCAAATGCTACGTTGAACACGGTAGAAATTACAGCAAACACTATAAATAAAACAATTATTCAAACAATATTTTCAGCCCACAATGGAACATTGATAATTATCGATAATACTACGGGAAATATTATGCTTTCCACTAACCTTATCAATTCAGTCATAGCTAATACGAATAAGTCAATAATTGATATTATTGCTCCAATTGTTTCTACAGATTCGCCAATAATTTTAAACAATACGAATCAAAAAACTGAATTTTCAATAAACAATTCAATAAATCCCACATTAGATACAATAATTGATAGCCATATTGGGATATTAACATTAGAAGCTATTAACATTGATTTTACTCCAAACATCACCATAACGACAAATGGGACGTATGGAACAGGTTCAGCAACTTTTAACGGTACAATAATCAATAAATATGTTATAACAGAAACGTCAGATACTTCATTAAATGGGAGCCATATTATAAAAAATCATGTAACAGATTCCAACATGGTTATGTTAACCGACACGACTGTCAATGCGACAGATATGTCGCTAAGTATAACCGATATGATGTTATTATCAAGCATAAATTTTATAAACATAACCAAAGATGTTAGTGAAACATTTTATATACATAAGAATGATACAATTACTTCAAATTTAGGTATAAACGGAGCAGCTATTTCCCCTGATATCATGACTGCTTCTCCCATAAATAGTATTGATAATATAATGACAGGATTTATAAATATTACGAGTTCTAATTTAAACAAAAGCATGAACAAAACAATGGGGTCAAATTCTACTTCGAATACAATTTTAATAAACTCTAATTCAACAATTTTGAAAGATGATACATCAATTGATAGCAATAATAAGCTAAACATTAATACAGAATCCCAAGTCTCAAATTATGATAGGAAAAATAATAAGATAAAATCTATTTTTGATAAAACACTGGGACATATTATTATGTTTATACATGCTAAAAGTCCTTCGCCTTATAACGAAAATTTAGTTAACCAATCATATATATCCACGGCATACTCTATAAGAGGGCGAGAGTTTCCAAAATGTAATTCAGCCATTATTATTTTTTTCTAAATTGCTTACATAATGGTCGTTTGAGAAGTTAATAATGTTTTATATGGGTTTTGAAGAAATAATTAAAATGAATATCAAGGAGATTTTAATAAGAACATTTTATTAGTTTTATTATATTTATCAAAAATAATAGATAGTGTAGATTACGATGATGATTCCTCTCTAAACGGTAAAGAAAGTATTGAATTCGGACTTAGCGGTCCCTATTTCAAAAAGGATTTAGAGGAAGGTAATAGAAAGGCTCATTCGGATAATTATCAGCGTTCTAAAAATCATAATGACATAATGAATAACATTGATCCATATTATTTCCCAGATTTGACCCAAAAAGACAAGGGATTTTCTAACAGTAATATGCTTTAGTAAATTTGAATGCTTTATAATATATGTTGAGAGTAAAGGTTTTGATTATAAACTCTTAAAATGCTTTTACTATATCCTCCACTTATCTTCCTGAATCTCGTTTAATTATTTGTTTTCAATTATATTATACTTTTAAACATTTTCTTTAGGAAATAGATTAAGCAATACCCTTATTCGGGAAGATGTTGTATTTCTAAACAAACATCAATCGAATATAAAACATAGTGTAAAAGGATCTGGAATAGACCCTGCACTCATTGCTGCATTGATAAGCAAACAGTCGAGAGGGGGTAGAGATTTAGACAGTTCTGGATATGGTGTCTTCACTAAAAATTATGGATTATTACAAGTTTTATTTAATTCATTTTTTTTTAAATATAATTTCTATTGGGAATATAAAATATAAGTAAACATTTAAACAAATTTTAGTTTCTTGTATAATATCATATTATAGATCAATCCAAAAAATTATGGGATAACGGGTGGGCCAACTAGTCTTGAACATTTGAGACAGGGTGTAAAAATGATGAATGAAAATTTAAACACAGTATTAATTGGTGATAAATCTGGTATGACGAAAGAAGAAATCATAAAAGGTTATCAATTTTATTTTACTCTTTGTCTTAGAACATTTTTTAACATAGAAATCTAAGCTAACACACTCCATTTAATCATAAATTTTTTTTTCATTAGCTACCTTAGCGCTTTGGGGAGAAGGTCAAAAAAATGGCAAAAGGAAGCGCGAAGTGAAGGTAAAAGATTTATTGAAATCAAGAGAAAATAAAGTTTTCGCCAACGATGTGATAATAAGGACATTATATTTAAAGAGAAGACATCTTTTTTAAATCAAACATTTATTTAACATCATTTTTAAAATGTAATCTACATTTGTAGTAATATTACCTCCAGTTAAATATAATGTGTGCATTTATTGTCAACATTTACATTATATTTACCTATAATTATTAAATCCTGATAATTTATTATTTAATAATGCATTTTAAACAGTCAACTCAAAATCATTCATACCCTTTTACAATGAATTTATTTTTTACTAAATTTTAAATATTTAATAAACTTCACCTTCCTTATATAAAATAAAATGTATCGCAACACAAAATATTAAGAAATAATTAATTTGTTATCCTTTGATATTTTTAGTTTCTAGATTATCGCTTCAAATTAAGAGTAAAACCAAATATATTTATAGGTTTATTAATTTTTGAACTAAAAAAATAAATAATAAGCCAGGTAAAACATAAAACCTATAAATTTTTGTTTTTTAGAGCAAAATGTCACAAATTTGGTTAAGAAAATATTTAGATCAGAGAGCTGCAGGCTCGGCAACGGAGCGAAATATGACTGTAAAATCTGAAAAGGCTTAAAAAAGATTAAAAATCTGGACATTAATCAAAATTAAATAGAAAATATTGGAAAATCTTATAATGGAGTGTTGAATATTTATTTAATGCTGATATTTTCGATTTCCATTTAAAAGCTGCAAAATATAGGGAAAAATTTTAAAAAAATTCTAAATTCTGGACTGGGCTTTTAAATCAAAACAATATTTAATCACTGCCGGTTTAGACTTGGAAATTAAAAAGAAATTAAACAGGGCCGGATCTAAAATTTTGATCTCTGCATATTTCAGATTTTTTTTAATACACAATTTTTAACACACTTATGTTGAATTTAAAATGTGGGTTTCTCCCCATTCAAATATATATACTTACCAGGTGGTGTAGCCATTTTTACTATATCTTAAATATTGCTTAGATAAAATTACTATTTTAAAAGATATATTTCCTCTTGGTATAGAGAAGGTTATCAACGAGAGAGAAGAAAGTATGGAATTTTAATTAAAAAAAATACCAAATATTTCTTAAAAGTTAAAATGAATCTTTTCACTATTAAATCAGCAAACTAATGTGTGCATAAAGTATGATATGATTTGAAATTAAATGTTATCAGTATTTATAGAAATAAAATTAGTCCCACTAATTTTTTTTAACTCTTTGTGTATATAAAAATAATTCTTATTTTTAAATAGTATATAATTTTAATTTAGATAAAGATAAAGATTTATCTAGTTTTTATATATAAAAAATAATAAAAGCTATTTTTTTTGAAGTGAAGAATTATTTTAACTTTTTATCATTACTTTTTTATGCAGAATTTTTTTGACTATGAACTCTTTCGAAATACTTTTGCTTTTCTTAGTACAAAACTTGATGGAGTTTAAAATTATAAATCGAATGTCTCAAAAATTTTTCATCGTAGTTAACATTTTCTCACAACGATTGACGTTTAATCATTTGTAGAATCAAATGATAATTCAAGTACTTTTCGCAGAGCAATTTTTTTTCCTATTTTAGCTTTCACCTTTTATAGAATCTTTCTTATTTAATTTATATTTGGCCACGTTTGGTCTTTATTTGGGCTCATTGTAGTTTGGGTCGGTCTCTCTTCCCTTTAGCAATCATTTATAAACTCTTAACTTTCCATATTAAATATAATATTATCATGGTCTATTTATCATGGTTATTGTTATTATAGGGTACACTTATAAACCTGCAAATATATTTATTATTTTGTAAGGATCAGCAATTTCTGCAAAGTTGTTTAAAAATTTTCATTAATAACCAGCCATAGGTACTAACCCATATGATAAAATTCTTTCAAACACATTTTTGATGTTGTTTAAATGATCTTCATCGAACATCTGGTTCATAATTTGTTGAAAGATTGCAGATGAGGTCTTTAGCCCAAAAGAAAGTCTAGTAAATTGGTAGTATCACTTGTGTGTGGATATTGTAAAAAGATTTCTGCAACTTTTATCAATGGGAATCTGTTGAAACGCATTTTTGGAATCGATCCTCCCGAAAGTTTAACTATTAAACAATTTATCCGTGGAAGGGGATATTTAAAAAATCCACTATAGCTGGATTTATAATGTCTTTGAAATCAGCACAAAGCATAATGCTCCCATCATCTTTGTAGTCGGCGGTTATAGGACTTGCCCAACGAACATCTTTAACCGGCTCGATAATTTTTCCTTGCATTCATTTATTAAGTTCTTTGCCCATAAAATCAATCTTTGCATAGGGTTTACTTCTTGGTGGTATAATTTTGGGTTGGGCATCTCCTCTTAACTATAGTTTAACATTTGCTTTGTTAATTGGTCTATAGGCCATGATTCACAATTTTTAATCAGTTTTTATATTTCATCTTTGTAATTGGTGTCAATATTTGCTATAAAATTGTTCAAGATATTTTTGAAAGCGTTGATCCATGAACGTCTTTATAATGCATTTTTTCTTAAACCACTGCTTGTAAATATTTAGTGATACCTTCATAACTTACTTGTTGTCCCAATGATCTGAATAAGTTTCTGTCGTAGATGCCAATTTTCTTAGCCATATCATAAAGTATGATAGTAAATTTTGATCCTGTATTGACTTGCATTGTTGTAGCAACATCCTTTAATTTTAGAGTAGTAATAAAAACACTATCATTATCATTATGCGTGTTGTCAGTTTAGTTGTTGACGTTAAGATCATTATCATTATTGTCTTTGGCAGTATCGAATTTGTCTTCATCAATTTCTTCAATATTCATGTTGCAATTGTTATTGTTATATCATTTTGGTCATTATATTGTATTTGCTTTCTCTGGTTGTAATCATGCCGCGTGTTGTTTATACCCTTGAGTTGTTGCCATAGGCTGGGTAATTATTGCGATTTTGATCATCGTATTGTATCTGTTTCCTCTGATTATTATTACACCACATGTTGTTTCTACCGTAGTTATTTGAGTTGTTGTTATTAGATTGATAATTGTTGTTATTGTGATAGTTTCTAAAGTTGTTATTATTATGTATGTTACTGTTTCTTAGATTACTATTTTCATAATATCTCAAATTGTTATTATTATAAATCCTACTCCTATTATAATTATTATTATTATATCTATTGTCATAATTTTGTCTATAATTGTCATTAACTCTATTATAATTATTATTATTCTCATTCCTAATATTATAGTTAGGAAAAGTGTTAGTATTTTGGTCGTGAAGGTTAATCTAAATTCTTATTATTAATATCTATATTTTTATTAAGTTTTTTTATCATATCACATAATTTATATTATCATTATCTTATTTAATATTAATGCTATCTAATTTTCTTCCCAAACCATTTCATCTAAAGTAGAATTAACGTTTTTACTTAATTTATGTTTAATATTGTCATTTAAACTAGGTGTCCTAAGTTTTCCTTTATACGATTATCGTCAGGAAAAGCGCGCTCTCTACTAAGTTTGGATAATCTAAAGTACCATCCTAGAAAAGTTTCGTTTGTGCTTGAAAGACAAAATATAAATTTATCAAATATCTAAGTCTTTTATTAATAAATTAAGAAAGGTACAAAATTTCAATGTCTAAGCATATATATCTTATGATGTGCTGTTCGCAAAGTAATTAAGTACTCGGTCTATGTATAAATTATTAATATCCCCATTTAGTTTGGGAAATTTGTCTCTGTAATATCTTTTAATTTATCGTTCATGCTCGATTAATAATTTTGTAAAACATTTATTTAATTGATTTTCATGATAAATATTTTCATGTACACGCCACAATTCTAAAAATTCAGTGTCATCTTAGATATAGAATTTTCCATTTAATGATTCGTAAAATCTTAACATGTCTTTCAAACTTTGATATTGAAAAAAAAACATCACTACAATTTGATACACGAAAATAACACATCAAGGGTACCCGTTAGCTCGAAAAATAAATCACAAATGTATATGGTGGTAGGAATGTTCAAAATTTTAAAAATATAAACAAGCAATATGAAAAAAATATTTTTTTTTAACCTTTTATACTGAATTTTTATGTTATTCAAGAATAATTGTGAGACCGTTGATTTTTTTTTCGGATTCTCACCCAGTGCATTATGAACAATTAAAAGAAAAATTCAAATGTACAAATATATTTAAGTTATCCCAAAAAATTATATATCTTTTTATAAATATCGCTAGTATATAAATACAAAAAAAATCTTTTACAATTTGAATAAGAAATATAAGATACTTTATCAAAATAAAATTAAGATCCATTCAATTTTGAATAGCCACAATAAAATATAAAATAAACTTTATACAAAAGTAAAAATAAGCTAATATGAATATACAATAAGTTATTTTATAAGAATTTAACTATTCAACCCTTACTCTTAATTTTATGCTAAATTCTTTAGCTAATAAACACGCAAGGATAACTGCATCCATTTCTAGACGATATATGTATTATTTCTGCCTATCAATTGGTTTACCTTGTTGACTTTCAGCCTGTAATTTTCTATGATATTTATCCAACTAGTTAGTATTTTTTAAAAATCTTAGTATTTACTGTGTGATGTGAAAATATTATATTCCGCGGTGTTTACTCTGAGTGTCTATGACAGAAAATCTATTATTAAATTTGCAGTATCAGCCACAGAATTTTTATTGAAATTCATTAGAAAGCTTTATTACTCCTTTTATAATTTTGTAAATTGCGTTACCCGTTGATTTTCCAGACATGAAGTAAACTCTATTTCTATATCTTCCCTTTTTCCTATTATTTTTTCTAAAAATTTTAGTTCCACTCTTGTCCCACGTTATAAAGCTTCATTATTTTTTTAAAATAGGATTAGATAGCTCTGCCACCCTTTTTAGGGAATTCTTCACTCTAATATTTTACTATAAATAAAGTTATGTTAGGATATTTTTTTTTCCCTTATTTGAAAGACCTTTTACTAGAATTCATAGGTTTAATATCAAATATTATTTTTTAATAAAAATTTGAATGGCATGGGTTCTCACCTAGGTAAAATTTGTGAGGATTAAACTTAAGAAATAACTAAAAATATTTCTTTTCTTCTTTTTTAACAATTTTCTTCTCTATTTTTTATTACATTAGTATTTCCATTTTTATCTCATAATTTTTTTTCTCCATTTATTTGTATTTTATTTTGCAATAGCACATACATGTCTTCACATGCTGATGTTTTCCTAGCCAGCCCTTTTGTAACCATTCTCATGGACTATTTTATCATCTGTATTTTGGAATTTCTACCAAGTAGAGCACTTTTATGACAGCGTATAAATCTTCATTATATCATTAAATATATTTATTGCCAACCCGAGGATCGGTTCATATCTCTGCAAAGAATCGATTGTTTAGATATGCATTTAGTGCAAAAGTGTATCTTATTTTAGTTTCCTCTAATTGATACGTAGCTGATTCTTTCATCACATTTATATGCTTTTTGAGTATGTAATCAATTTTGAGTTTTTCACGTACCGGTCTCCTAATTTACTAAATGGTTGTCATTATTAATTTCATGTAATAAACATAAATCAATTTATATATTGATATTGGGAAAATTCGACCGAGTTCTTTGCCTATGAACTAACAAATATATTTATACATTTTTTGGATATACAAATAAACTAAATTATTGTTACCAACTAACTTAATTCTTAATAGCCTTTTTCTTTTTAGGCAGTCTAAAGGAAACTATATAGATGACAGACTTTGGAAGTAAAACGAACTATAACAAGGCTCTTAAGGCTGATTTATTAGCTAAATCTAAAATAAATAATGTGATCGGGTGCTTTAGATCTAAAAAGGAAACCCACATTAAATTTTTTTTTACAATATTTTCATTCAAGACCCTTTCCACAGCCCCTTAAATACCCTATTATTTATTTAGAAGGGAAATAGAGATGCCTATTTGATTTCAATATTGTGGTAATTATTTAATTTATTAAAATTAACCTTATTTTTATAAAATGAATATATTTAATTAGTATAGGTGGGTGATTATATTTAAACATCTATAATTCAGTTCGTTGACGGTATATAAATTATCATATGTTTTGTATAACATGAAATTACACCAGTAAAAAAAAATTGTTTTTTTCATATAAAATATGAAAAAAATATCTAATGATTTTTCACAAAATTTGGTGTGATATTACAATTTCTTATATAGAATTAGTATATATCTTCTATTTATTTAAATTACTGATTATATCCATTTTCAAAAACTTTAGAACGACAAAGAGTTTTCTGGATAATTAAAACCTTTATTTTCATCGTGTAACTGGAAATAATTGTATTCCTTTGTTGATTTAAGGGCACTTTAATAAAAATATATTTTAAAATTGGCTCTTTTAGGCAAGGGATACATTAATATAGTATTTATTCGAAAAATTTCAAGAATATTTTTTTTAGAATAGTAACTGAAACGCTTAGAATTTTTTTCCCTATTGCTCAGAATTAAAAATACTTAAAAAACTAAAAAAATTTATTGATTTTCTCATATTTTTTTTCTTAAAAATCGACTTAAATTTTGCTTTGTAAAAATTTTAATTTTCTCGAATTTTTTAAATTGAATTTCCCAGAAGATTTGCTTAAGTTCAGAGTTGTTAAAGTATCTAGATATAAAAATGTGGTATCTGTATCTAGATAGATTTTTTATTAAAGTTTCTGTATCTAGATATTATTTTAGAGGTATCTGTGTCTGTTTTTATTTAAGATACATTTTGATATACTTCTATTTAACGCTTTTTTATATTATAAATAAAAATACTTGAATGTAAAATTTATTTTATTTCATATGAGCATATAACTTAATATTAAAATATATATTAGAAAATTATATATATATGTAAAATATTAAAACTTATATATAAAAAAGAATATATAAATATTAATAAAATATTATGTCCGAGTTATCAATAACAAGCAAATTCTGATATTACAATCCATCTCAAGGAATTTGCCATTTTTAATTGCAATGGAATTGGTATTTTATTTTATTATATTATATTAATTTTTAAGATTAATATGATAACGAAAATGACGACATTCTTCCATGGCCACTTTGACCATATTTTAAAATAATATCTCAAAATGAAGAAAACAAATCTCTGTTGGTAAAATGTTTGCCATGTCTACCAAAAAATATGCAAATTTTAGTTAGCATTACCTCAACTTGCAACATTGTAAAACATTTAAGGGTATAGATACTAAATAAATGTTTACAATTTTAATTTTAAATTTTAAGCGAAAACATCAAACACTCTTAATCCAAATAAAAAAGGGGAAGGAGAAAAAATCTATTAAAGAAAATATTGGACCAGGCTCATCGTCCATGATTTTTTTTCCAAGAAACCTCAGACTTTAACCCAAACCACTTTAGATGATTTAATAACTGATTTTATTATAAATAGCATTCAGCCATTTTCAATTGTTGGAAATCCTTCATTTATAAAAATGATTAAAACATTAGCTCCACAAAAAAAAAAAATTTGCCGACAGACAGTGGTTGTTACTGAAATCTAATTTATAATCATTTGATCTTATATTATATTATTGATTATTTTAGTTATATTTTGATAAATATGATATCGAGACAATAAATTTTTTAGATCATTTCATGAATTTTTACAATAGAATCCTAATTTAGGTTTATTCAAACCTTATTTAAGAGTATAATAAAAAATGTAACTGTACATAGATACATTTTAAATTGTATCTGTATCAAGATAACTTTTTAGAAGCTGTATCTGTATCTAGATAAACTTTTGAACGATGTATCTGTATCTAGATCCATTTAAAAAGTATCTTTTAACAACTCTGCTTAGGTTTCTCAAAAATATTTGCTAAATGTTTTTTATTATTATGTGCATTTAGCTCAAGTGTGTTTTTTTAATAATCATACATTATGTGTTACTTATCAACCCACTGGGTTCTCAGGTCTAGATCGTGGGAGGGGTGGGGGCAAGAATCCAAACCGTAACGAATATCGATTCGATTCAGATTTAGGTTCATAAAAAATAGCGGTTCATGTTATATGAATTATAAAAAAAATTAAAAATCTTTTGATTGTTATGTTAATCACCACTCATGATCTTCGGAGTTTGGCTATGTGATAGAGGGGTGGGGGAGGGACTATTTGACAACTTTTTATAAAATTTTAAACGATTTCAAGTGAAAAATTTATTGACCTAATTGTTAAAAATAATTTTCTTAGGTCTTCAAAAAAGATAAATTTAGGGTGGGGATGGGGTGGGGGGGGGGGGTTATAATAGAATATCATGACAGTCTCAAATTAAAGTTAATGTAATTAGCCAGAAAATATATTTTAAAAATGCTTTGATTTAATTTATTTTCCTCTTATATGAATATCATCATATATCTAGAAAATAATAATAAAATTTGCGAAAAAGTGAAAATTATCGTTGATTTCGTTTAATATTATTTAGAATTAATTTTAAATGTTAACAATTTTTCATAGACGTAGCCAGTTGAGCTCCCCTTCGGAATGCCTGTTTTGGTAAATGTCTGATAAAAAAATTTTTATCCCCTTATAAAATAAATTGTTGTTTTCGAGTAGCCACCGTGGCCTAGTCGTGAATTATAGCTCTTACCTTATATATCAGGAATTAAATCTAGCAAGGACTGGGTTTTTTTCTGAAGACAAATAAGTGGTAGTTCTATGATACGGGATATTATATATAGAATATTGGAAGCGACTACGCGATTCCGTAATATATATTAAAATAAAATGGTGCTCATTGCATGAATAAAATTTGATCTTTGTTTAGCAAATTGCTATATGATGACCAACGCTACATATCATTACACCCGTATTAAGGCTTCTATTTATGCAATGGATAGCAATATCTATCCCTAGGGCTAATTATGTGTGCTTCGTCAACTCAATAGCCTTAAATAATTATAATTTCTTCTCCACCCCCCCCCCCTGAACTATTAAATTAATAATATTTTAATTCTTATATATCGCTGTTAATGTTTTAATATTATGTAATAGTGGTAACTGAATTGAGACTGGTGACATTATTTTTTTTTATAATTAAAAAATAAAATGAGATATTTATAAAAATGGCCTTCGTATGGTCACAATATATTTTAGTTCCCAGGAAGGAAAGGCATAAATATTTTTTGTATAAGGCGATTTAAAAATCGTGGAAAGGTTATACGAATACAATATCATCATGCAAACTAGGTAAACGCGATGTAATTGGATAAATATGCTTTTCATTTTTAGCTGGGGTGTGAGGTAAGCATATGTTTATTTGTCCAGGTTGTATGGACAGATTTATAGCTATAATAAATTTTTGAGAATTGAACATTACATTTTTTATATCTTTCTTGTTACTAAAATGTTAAAAATTTTGATTAATGCATAAATACTTAAAGATTGATTTATAAGGCACAGTGGAATAACAAAATGATCTTATAATATAAATTTTAATATATTTCAGAAGCTTAAGATTTGAGGTTTCGGTCACTATAACTTCTAAATTTCGTCGGTAGCGTTCTATATCCATAATTTTGCAAAATGGCTGGATAATTTTAAAAATGAAAATAGAAAACTATAATACTCATCCGACGATTTATAGAAAACATTCTAAGACTCATAAAATTATATTCATAACAATCGATAGCACTAAAGAGGGTGGCAAAAGGAGTGTTTAAAACGGGTGAAATTTGATTTGAGAAAGCCCTAATTAGAAAAAATATATTATTTGGGAAAAATGGTTCCTTGTGAAAACAATAAATCAAAAAAAAAAATTAAAAACGCAAATAATAATCAAACAAAAAACTTACCGATCAATAAAACATTAATCATCCTATTATTTCTTATGACACATCTTCAATTGTATCTATTTTTTTTAATTTATTTGCTGCAACGAATAATATTTAAAAAAGAAATTTCATTTATGGAGTATTTAAATGATAATGATATGGATTGACAAGCCTTGGACATCTATTTTAAGAATTAATTATTTTTAATTTGAAGTTTCTAAAACGTTATAAAAGTAATAATAATTGATATATAATTACTATTTAAATAAAAATAAAATACAAATTTAGAAATTTAGGCTTTCAAATTCAGAATATAAATTGAAAAACTTAAAATTAAATAAGCGAATAAAATTTTTTCTTTAATTTCTATGCAACATTTTTTAAATCAAAACCCGCAGATTTTTTTTAGAA